GGAGCAGTGGCTCATGCCTATAATCCCAGCACTCTGGGAGGCCGAGGCAGGCAGATTGTCTGAGGTCAGAAGTTTGAGACAAGGCTGGCCAACATGATTAAACCCCATCTCTACTAAAAATGCAAAAAAAATAGCTGGGCGTGGTAGTGCACGCCTGTAATTCCAGCTACTTGGGAGGCTGAGGCAGGAGAAACTTGAACTTGGGAGGTGGAGGTTGCAGTGATCCAAGATTGCACCACTGCACTACAGCCTGGGCAAGAGTGAGACTCCATCTCAAAAAAAAAAAATTTTAGCTGGGTATGGTGGTATGCAACCGTAGTCTCAGCTACTGGGAGGTTGAAGTGGGAGCATTGCTTGGGCCCAAGAGGTCGATACTGTAAGTGAGCCATGATCATGCCACTACACTCCAACCTGGGTGACAGAGCAAGACACCCCATCTCAAAAAAAAAAAAAGTACAACTAAGGGGATGAGCTGCTGCGAAGCCGCTGCCATGATCACCCGTGTGCTGCTTCCCTGCAGCAAGATGGTGGGCAACATGTGGGAGGTCTACCTGGGGCTGCTGCAGGCCAAGTACACTGAGGGGGATGCCCTGGCCCTGAAGCGCTATAGCCACCGCTGCACACTGCTGGCCTGGGTGGACCTGATCCAGAAGCTGCTCAATTACAGACTCCTGGGGAAGTGACCTCAATGGACCCACCCACCTGCCGTGCTGACCATGAGCAGTCACTGTCTTGCTCTGAGTTCACTAAATTGAGGCACGGGAGTGCTGGGAGCAACAGCTGACAACAGTGCATGGACGTGTGTACCTCACTCTGGTACACACACTCCAATGAGTCTTTCAGGAAAGGCCGGGTGTGGTGGCTCATGCCTGTAATCCCAGCACTTTGGAAGGCTGAGGCGGGTGGATCACCTGAGGTCAGGAGTTCGAGACCAGCCTGGCCAACATGGTGAAACCCTATTTCTACTAAAAATACAAAAAATTAGCAGGGCGTGGTGGCGAGTGTCTGTAATCCCAGGTACTCGGGAAGCTGAGGCAGAAGAATTGCTTGAATCCAAGAGGCGGAGGTTGCAGTGAGCCGAGATCATGCCATTGCACTCCAGCTTGGGCAACAAGAGCAAAAAGTCCATGTCAAAAAAAAAAAGTTTCAGGGAAAAAAAAAAAGTACACCAAAGCATGTTGCTTCTTCCCTTTGTTTGGGGAGCGAGGACAGGTTCTCACTGTCTCTCAGGCTGGGGTGCAGTAGTGCAATCACCACTCATTGCAGCCTCAACCTCTTGGGCTCAAACAATCCTCCCACCTCAGCCTCTGGAGTAACGAGGATCATGGGTGCACGTCATCACGCCTTCCAATATTTCTTATTCTTTGTATAGATGGAGTCTCCTTATGTTGGCTGGTCTTAAGAACTCCTAGGCTCAAGCGATCTGCCCACCTTGGCCTCCCAGAAAAGGAGTGCTGGGATTCAGCCACACGGGAGGCTAAGGAAGGAGAATCGCTTGAACCCAGGAGATGGAGATTGCAGTGAGCTAAGATCTAGCACTTGGAAAAAAAAAGTGCTGGGATTACAGGCGGGAGCCACAGCACCTGGCCCTCTTCCCTGTTTTTAAAGAAGCACTCCAATGGCTTTCTACCAACTTAGAGTAAAATCCAAACTCGGCCCTGCTGCAGCATCCTGTGATGGTTCTATACAGAGCTCTCCTGGCCTCCACAGGAGCCCGCTTCAGGCAGGCCTCAGCACAAGGTCCCCTGCTCCGAGGCCTCTCCCCACAGAGTCAGTTTCTATCACATCATTGTACTGTACTTTCTCTTCAAGCACTTCAGATTGCTTGAAATGATCTTGTCCATCTGTGTAGGTCCTGTGTGCCCTCTCTCTCCCACTAGGACGTAGGCTCTTAGGGCCCACTGGGCCCACCATGGTGGCCCCTTGGGCTAACACAGTGCCTGGCTCTGACGTTGCTGTTGAATGAGTGAATGTTTCATCTTCCCCACTCCTGACATTTATCATCTTCCAGAAGGAGAGTTTTACAACAAAAGTTGAGAATAAAGAAATACAGGAGCTTCACAAAAAATTTCCAGAGCTGTCTGGAAAAAGGATTTGAAAAGGTGCCACCGAGAGAAAGAGCTATGGGTAGGACCACTTCTCACTCCGAGTGGCTGCCGGGAGATTTCCCACAGATTCCCAGAGATAACATTTCCAAACAATGGCTCCTACTGTAGTTATCTTTATTTAGAGCAGAATTCAGACTCAGCTACATCCCCCAGGGCAGGCCTGCTGGCTGAGGAAGGGATAGTCTGTCCCTACCCACTTCTCCAGGATCCTTCCAGCCCCCAGGCTGGCTTTCCCTCCAGTTCTCAGCTGCTTAGCTGCTCATCTGTGGGTTGGAGCTGGAGCATCTGTCGAGGTTGTGTCCTTGACAAATAGCTTCCTCTTTGGAAATGGCCTCACTCAGGCCCTGCAGGTCATCGAGTAGGACAGAGAGGGACCCTGGGAAGGAAGATGCAGGATGAGCACCAGATGAGGAAACAGGGCTGGCACAGGACATAAGGGCTAGGAGGGAGGAGGCCCTTTGGTCCAAGCAGGGCGTGGCTAAGAGGCTAAGAGCCTGGAAGGATCATGGAGAACAACACTCATCATGCAAGAGTCTGGAGCGGAGATTCCTGAAGTGTCCCCATTTATCCCTTGTCCTTTTGTGCTTGGGCCAAGACCTTTTATAGACTCCCTGGTGGGCACTGCTGCTGCTACAGGTACAGATGCTGAACACCCTAGAGGCCTGCTGCTGGACACCACAGATTTCTTCTTATCCAGTAGGGAAGGAAGAACTGCCAATAGTCGCTGCTGCTTGTAATGGGAGAGGAGACCTTCCTGCTGCAAGGTGGCCTGGGAAGGAGAGGGTTAAACGCCACCTAGCCCGGGTAGAGCCTCCCCCACCATCCTCTTTCCACACCTCTAGCCCGGGAACCAGCCCAGGATAGGCCCTAGTCTCTGCTATCCTGTCTCCTACCAGCATGAGGTTCTTATCCCTCTCTAGCTCCTGCAGGCGCCGGGCCAGTCGCTGCCCCTCCTCCTTCCGGGCCTCCTCCTGCAGACGCCTGAGCTCCTGGCTCCGCTCCTTTTCCTGGGCAGCTTTGCGCTGGATCTGGCGCAAGGAGACCACTGCAGAGAGGGCAAGGCACAGAGGGGGCAGGTGTGGGTCAGCCCAGGGGCAGCCAGGCACCATGAAAACGGGAATGAACGCTGGGTCACCAGCTCTGTGTCTTGGGAAGGCCGTTTTGCTCTGTGGATCTGTCTCTTCCGTACAGTTGGAGGGGTGGGCCGATGCCCCAGGAGCCTGGGAATCTGTGAACCTAAGTACCTTCCTCATCCCTGATCCATCCTGGAGTTCCTCAGGGGAAATCTGAATATGGACTGGGTTAGATTTTGTGCAATTAGTGTTCATTTCTTAAAGTGTGATGATAGCTATATAGGATAATTTACTGGTTTTGGGAGATCCAGCTGAATGACTTATATTTACAGCTTACTTAAAACGTTAAATGATTACACCAGGCACGGTGGCTCACGCCTGTAATCCCAGACCTTTGGGAGGCTGAGGCAGGCGGATCACAAGGTCAGGAGTTTGTGACCAGCATGACCAACATATTGAAACCCCATCTCTACTAAAAATACAAAAAGTCAGTCAGGCGTGGTGGTGGGCGACTGTAATCACAGCTACTCTGGAGCATGAGGGAGAAGAATCGATTGAATCCAGGAGTTTGCAGTGAGCCAAGATTACAACACTGTACTCCATCCTGGGCGACAGTACAAGACTCCGTCTTAAAATAAAACAAAGAAAAACATTAAATGATTACAACTTTAAGTGATTCAAAAAAATGTATAAATGTGTGTGTATATATGTAAGAGACCAAATGTGGCAAATGTTAACTGCTACAGTTAGAGAAGATATATGAATATTCATTACACAATTCTTTTTTTGACACAGGGTCTTCCTCTATTGCCCAGGCTGGAGTGCAGTGGCACAATCTTGCCTCACTGCAGCCTCGACTTCCCAGGTTCACATGATCCTCCCACATCAGCCTCCCAAGTAAGCTGAGACTACAGGTGCCTACCACCATACCTGGCTAATTTTTGCATTTCTTTTTGAGATGGGGTCTCACTATGTTACCTAGGCTGATCTGGAACTCCTGAACTCAAGCAATCCTCCCAACTCGGTCTCCCAAAGTGCTGGTCCCAATTCTTTTAACTTGTTCAGATGTGTGAAATTTTTGCTAGAGGGTAATTGCTGGTGTTAGACATCTGGAAGGTGGTGTCCTCTGTGAAGGGGTATGACTGGAAGGGGTACAGTGGGGGTCCTGAGCTGGTCATATGCTGTTTCTTAATCTGGTGCTGGCTACATGGGTGTGTTTATGATGTGAGAATTCATCTGTGTCATTCCTGGATACCTTCATTACCTCCTGTAATGAAGCATTGAAAAAACGTTGAGGGGGAAATAATAACCTTATGTCTGAACACTTCCTTCTTCCTGGAAAGCCCTATCCACCCTGGCAAGGCTCACCGGCCTTGGCATGCTCCCTCCGAGCCTCGTTCAGCCTCCTCTCTGTGTCTGAGAGTTGCTCCCGAAGCCGAGTTTCCACTTCAGCCACCTTCTCTTGCAGGGCTGGGGTGAAGGTGCAGATGGGGCATATCAGCAGGAGCTTTGATTTGCAGTTCCCATCCCACCCTCCAAGGGAAACACCCCTTTCCCCTCTGGACACCTTGCCCGTAGAGTTCCTGCTGCTGGGTCAGCTCCTGCCGCAGACTGGCAGCCTCCTTTGTGCTCTCCTGCTGGCCCTGGCGTGCCACGTCCAGCTGCAGCCCCAAGTTAGCCAGGGACTCCTGGGTCTGCTGCAGCTCCTGCTCCAGCTGCTGGGCCACCTTGCTCAGCTGCTGGCGCTCTGCCTCCCCTAAAAGGAGGGGGTGCTGGCTCAGGCCTCTCCTGGTACCCTAGATGCCAGGTCTTCCTTCATCCTCTCCACCCCCTGGCAACCAGGTGTACCTTGCTCCCGGGCCCGGCCCACCTCCTGCTGGATGAGGCGGGCACTCAGCTGCAGTTCTGCATCCAGGCGGTTCCGTTCTTCACGAAGCTGCTGCAACTCAAGGCTCACGTCTGTGGCGGGTGGGGGTAGGGGACAGCTGGGATGGGGAAGAGAAAGAGTCAGGAGAAGTCACCCAGCTGCCTGACCCCTAAGCCCCCATCCCACCTCAGTCCTCATTGTTTTGGGGGGTCCCAGCAGTCAATGCCCTAAAGCCCCATCCACCCCACCCTAAAGCCCCATCCACCTCAAAGTGCCCAAACTTCACCTCTCCTGGCGCAACTGAGCAACAGCAAGTTTTCGAGCCATCAGGCCTGGGAGGGAAAAGGCAGGGAGAGACAGAGATGAAGTTTGCATGGGAGAAGGTGGGGGACTGGGGATTAGGGGAAAAAGAGATGAAAGGACTGATGAAAAGAGGAAGGTGGATGATGTGGGATCAGAGAGCTGGGCCAGGAAGAAGAAAGTCCGAGCTGGTGGGTCAGGAGCAGGATGTGGCTTGCAGTTGCCCTACGCACCCTGAATGGTGTGGACCTTGCGGACAGCATAGCTGAGTCGGTTGCTGAGGCTGGGAAGCCGGGCGGCAGCCTGTTCCACCTTAGCCATAGTGCTCTCGAGCCAGATCTGAGAGCTGGAGAGGGCACAGGTCACTGACCCTCCATGCCCCCCTCATTCCCAAAGGACTTGCTGTGTCTTGTACAGACAATTCCCTGTATCCTGTCCTGTTATGCAAGTAAAGAATGCACAGCTTCTGTCAATTCTCTAAAGGGTCCTTGCCCCAAGAATGCATTAAATGACTGTATCTTTTCTTTTTTTTTTTGGGGGGGGGGTTGGAGTTTCGCTCTTG